TAGGTTAGCTAGAAACTTGATAGAGTTTTAGTCTCTCAAGAATGGCATGATTTCTTTCCAAATTCTTATGTGGAAAATTTAAACAAAACCACCTCAGATCATAGTCCATAGTTGCATCTTTTTGCTCTGTAAGAAGAAAGTAAACCGAGGGTTTTCCGATTCCAAAAGATGTGGTTGCACCGGGAAGAGTTCAAAGATGTGGTTAAGGAATGTTGGGACCAGCCATTAGAGCAACAAGGAATGCTTATGTTTTCATTGAAGTTGCAAAGGCTGAAGATGCGATTGAAGGTATGGAACAAAGAGACTTTTGGTGATGTTTTCCAAAATTTGAAGGAGGTAGAGGAAAAAGTACAGCATTTGGAGGGCATTTTTTATATCTCTGGATCGGATCAAGAAAGAACTAATCTCCACCTTGCTAAAGCTCAGTTGTTCCGTAAGTTGAAGGAACATGAGGATTTTTTGTTGCAAAAAATGAGGTTAAAATGGATGAAAGAGGGAGACGCCAATACTAAGTATTTTCATGCTGTTTTGAAGGAAAGACGTGTGAAGTAGAGTCTTTTTAAAATCCAAGTAAAAAATGGCTCCACGTTGACCTCCCGGGATGATATTGAATACGAGGCAGTGATGTTTTTTAAAGACCTTTTGAATGATTCGAATGATGATCAAGATCATATGGCTGCGCAGGATGATCTACTTCAACACATTCCGGCTACTCTTACTCCTGATGATGCTCGGTTGCTGACTAAACCAATTACATTAGAGGAGATTAAGGAGGCGGTGTTTAATTTGGGGTATGAGAGTGCGCCGGGAATCGATGGTTTTGGAGGGGTTTTCTATAGATCATGTTGGGGGATAATTTCTCAAGATTTATGGTCTACCTGTAAAGAGTTTATGCATGGTATCCCTATTCCTAGATCGATAGCTAGTACTCTCATCACTTCAATTCTGAAGAATAACACTGTGAATACTTTCTCAGATTATAGGCCTATAAGCCTTTGTAATTTTCTGAATAAAGTTTTCACAAAGGTTTTTACGGATAAGCTGAAATTTTTGTTGCCTAAGCTAATATCAGAAGAGCAGTCGGCGTTCATTGAAGGGAGGAATATTTTTGATAATGTATTGCTTACTCAAGATCTTTGCCGATTTCCTGATGAGAAAACTAAAGGGAAAAATTTTATTTTGAAGCTGGACATGATGAAGGCTTTTGATCGTGTGAAGTGGACCTTTTTGGAAAGAGTTTTGCTTAAGTTTGGTTTTCCGCCATCGTTTGTTCATTTGATAATGAATAATTTGAGGAATAGCTGGTTCTCTGTCATGATTAATGGATCGTGTTGGTTTCTTTCAGTCTTCTCGTGGCATCAAGCAAGGGGATCTCTTGTCCCTCTATTTATTCATCTTGGTCTCGGAAGCTATGACTAGAAAGCTTAAATCCTTGGTCTCTTTTGGAAGGGTGGCTGGTTATAAAACTACTTCGCGATCTATGGTTATTTCTCATCTTGCTTTTGCTGATGATTTGATTATCTTCTCAAGGGGTTTGAAGAGGTCATTGCGAGAGCTTAATGGTTTCTTTATTTCATATGAGAAGGCTTCGGGACAAAAAATAAGTCGTCAAAAGAGTGCTTTCATGGTTTCTGAGAAGTGTTCGCCTAGAAGGGTAGCAATTATTCAGGGTGCTCTTGGGATTGAAAAGGGTTGTTTCCCTTTTACTTATCTTGGTTGCCATATTTATCAAGGAAGGCGCATAGCTTCCACTTTTCAGTTTTTGTTGGATAAGTTGGATGGAAAACTTCTGAGTTGGAAAAACAAGTTGCTAAGTATCGGAGGCCTGCTTATTCTCATTAAGCATGTGTTGTCTTCAATCCCTATTCATGTTTTCTCAGCTATTCCTCCCCACAAGTCCATTATTCAAAAAATGGAGAGTAAATGTCAACTTTCCAATGGTGTGGGGTTGCGAATGATAATAAGAGGCATTGGAGGTCTTGGGAGCGAATCATATTTCCATCTTTTGAAAATGGTCTAGGGATTCGAAGTTTTCAAGAAAATATAGATGCTTTTGTCATGTAATCTATGGTGGAAATGGAAGTAGAAAAAAAGGCCTTTGGTGTCATTTTCTAGCTTCTTTGTTGCACACCTCCAAGAAGAAAACATCATGAAATCGTCTAAATGCTATTGATCATCGGGCGGTCCAACATACAAAAGTGCTTTTTAGAGGAGGAGATCGCCTTTTCTGGTTTGATAATTGGTCGCCTTTTGAAGTATTATGGAATAGCAATCATGTTGACCCGCCGGATCTAGGTTTGAGTTCTTCCTTAACAAACAACATTATCTTGATGATTTTATGTTTTATTTGCCAGATCATGTTCTTACCTTTCTTGTGAAATTTAGTCATGATTTTTAGAATGATGACGATATTCTCTTTTGGCAACCGAACTCTAACAGTGCATTCACTGTTAAATCTGCCTCTGAAGCCTTGAGGCGCAAGCAACCTAAAGAAAGTTGGGCGCGGAATGCATAGCATTCTACTATTCCCTTGAGGGTTTCTACTTTTATATGGAAGCCTTTTCCTGGAGTCTTAAACCGAATGGGGATTTATACTTCTCCATCGATATGTAGTTTGTGTATAGCTGGAAATGATGCAATTGATCATTGTTTTTTCGGATGTGTAATGGCTCGGCAGCTTTGGTTGCACTTCACAACTATTATGCACATTAGTGTCTTGGGAGTCAACTCACTTGCTTCTATGCTGCAAAGATGGTGGCGGAAAGGTGATTTTAAAACAACAAGAGGTGCGCTTCGAAGATTCATTCCAACAATCATTTTGTGGGAGCTTTGGAAGGCACGGAACAAGTCCATCTTTGAAGGGAAACGTCCAACTCTTAAACGATTAGTTCATGTTACTATGGACCAAGCTAGATCTCTTCTATCTATTCATGATCTAAAGTTATGCAATGACAAGGAACGATGCTTTGTTAGGGCCGCATTTTTTTATGGTCCCCCGGTGCCAAATTCCTTTATTTTGAATACTGATGGCTCATCAATGAGTAGTGACTCTGGTTATGGATTTGTTGTGCGTGGAGAAGGAGGTTTGCTTGTGTATGGCGAGAGTGGTTATCTAGGAGAGGGTGAGAGTTTTAAGGCTGAAGTCATGGGTGCTTTTTTTGGATTGCAGAGGTGTGACTTCTTGTGTCTTCCAAATGTAACTCTTCAGACGGATAATGAAGCATTGGCGGATGCTTTGATTCGTGGTTCTGGTTTTCCATGGGAATATTTCATGCCTTTCCAGGAAATGTCCGTCATAATTCAGAAGAATGGTTATCAAGTTTTGCATATTTATAGAGAAGCAAATTCGGTAGCTGATAGATTAGTAAAAAGTACATCTTCTGGCACTTCTGAAATGTATCATAGTATAGACTCTCTATCTTGTGATGTAAAAGGATTTTTGATCTTAGATCAAATACTCTTTCCTTATGTTAGGGAACTAGATTATATATATATACATCCCTTGGATAGACCCCTTGGGTACATTATATAATCTAGCACGGCCTGTCTCAAAAATTTACCTTTTGGGTATACCCCTTGAATTTTTTTGGGGCAGTTGGGACCTGAACATAACCCTAACCTCCCTATTTATTTAAAAAGAAAAAGATACATACTTTACAGTTCCTAATTTTCCAATATATATTTCAAGTCATTATTAATTTTTGATAGTGTCGGGCCTATATTTACATTGACGTTTTTTGAAAAATTATTATCTTATTATTTTATCGATTGCCTTTGTTTTTTATATTGGTCCCGACTTGGACCGGAAGAAATTATTAATTTATAGATGTTATTAATTTATAGATGTTCCACTGTATATTTTTAAAAAATTATTTTTCACAAAAACTGGTGAATACAGTTATTCCTCAACAAATTCTTCAACGATTTGTTAAACAAAATAAGACGTTGAAAAAGAAGAAGATAAAATGTGGATCAAAAAATTATTTTCAAATGAAAGGGTATTTTTGTCATTTCGGTTGTCAGGAGAGTCAATTACACAGTTGACTAGCAGTCAAGGGGGGCAACTGTCCTTATTAGAAACGTCAGGGTGGTATTAGTATTTGGGACATAATTCGGAGAGATTTTTGTCCTTTTCTCTTTCTTTATTCATTCGTCATCTATTTTTTCTCCACGAGGTAGATCGAGAACAGTTTCAAGTTGAAGGCTAAAAAAGTATTTATAAAAAAATAATAATAATAAAATTGGAGGTACATATGAATGTCATTAACGATTTTATCGAAGAAATTAAAGAAAAATGCTGGTTTGTCGCCCTACAAGGCCCAATCCAAGAATTCCCCAAAAGCAAAAGCAAAAACAGAATGTTTTAAAAAATAGGCCCAGTAGCCAGAGCCCAGAACTGTTGTTGCATATTATATTAGGAATAGGAGGAACCAAAGAATCAGCAAAGAATGATATGACAAAACTGAGAGATATTCAAAGAGGCAAGACTGGCGGCGGAACCAGACATCAGCAAAGACCAGCATCAACAAGGAAAAGGGATGAAGAAGGAATCAGAATGGAATTGGGAAACGACCAATAGCAGGTGATGATGATATCAGGAAAAAGACTACAGCAATTTATTGGGAGAGCAAGATAAATTCAGTCACATTTCTAAAGGGCGGAAAAAACATTCAAGATAGTGGGAAAGCAGAGTTAGGCAGAAACAGAGCAGGGCCGGAAAAACCAATTTTCCGAGCCGAATTTTAGAAAACCATTTTAGTCCAGACTCCAAGAGAAATCATTGGTTGTGTTGCCTCACTCTTTTCACTACCTCATTTTCGTTTTCCCTTATTTTTTTTTTCTTTAGGGTTTTCTGCCTTTATCAACAGAACAGCTGTCACTCAAGTCCAGTAGTTAGTCTCCATTCTTATCAAAATTCTCACTCCGATTAATCCATTAGCCCATAAAGATCATGTCTTTAACTCTTTCCCTTTTGATTTAACTTGGGCTCTTCAATTATCATGGATTTGAACAACTTTGGTTGGGAGGGAAAAGAGGGGAAGAAGAACCAGCCAGAATATGTTGGTTTTGTGGTTAGTAGTGGGTCATTCGGATCTTCCAAGATTCAAGCTTTTGGTGGTAGCAAAGCCCGTGAAGAAGGTTCTTTTTTGGTGGAGAAATCAGTTGGGTTTTCTTCGAAAGATACTCCTTCTTTTCCTGTTTACCATAAGCATAAAGATGGTATTTTGTTAGAGAAGCTGAAGATTAGTCCGAAATCGTCCCAAGATTCTGGTGTTTTAAATAGCCCTTCTGATGATGATACGAATAACAAGAAATATGCATACTTTTGCAAAGAATGCAATAAGGGTTTTTCTTGTGGGAAGGCATTAGGAGGTCATATGAGTAGTGCTCATGTACAGGCTAAAGCTCATCTCAGGAAACTCAAGATCAGGCAATCTGAAAAGTTCATCAAGGGATATGATGGATTATTGGGCAGTGCTTTTCATGGTGATCAGGAAGAAGAAGAAGAGAGATACGTCTGTAAGCTTTGTGGAAAAGAGTTTCCTGGGAGTAGGTCTTTATATGGTCATATGAGATGCCATCCTGATAGGAATTGGAGAGGCATGGAACCTCCCTCTTCCAAAGCAAAAACCCTAAGAGCTCGTAATCGTGCCACATCTGTAGTTGTTGTTGATGATGTGCATGGTCGCAAGTACGAGGACCATGTTTACTCTGATATGCACGAGGCAGAGGAGAGAGTGTTGGAGAGTGTCGGAAGCGATCCAGCTGAAGATCGAAGCCGGGATATAGGGTTTTCGGGTTTGAAGGATTTGAGCAACGCGTTGGGTGGTGGCTGGGGAATTACCGGGAAGCGTGGCAGAGAAGCGGCAATGGTTAAGCTAGATGTGGAGATGGAGAGGAAAGAAGATTTGGAAATGTATGAAGCTGTTACGCAGCTCATAAGATTAGTGAATTCTGGGAAAGCAGCAGAGAATTATCAGAAGTAGCTACGCTCTTGCTATCAAATGACTAGCACATTAACTACTAAATCAAAGCAAAACTAATCTAATCCAATCCCATAAACCATGCCGACAGCCGCGAATTCTCAAATGAAATCCTGAACAAGTTAGGCACATTTGTTGCTGCCACTACAGAGGTTGAGGAAAAAGAGTGGTGGTCTTTCCATTAGCAAACTTGGATTTCATTTATGGAAGTATCAAGCGGTGATGAAGTTAGGTACTACATAACAAGATTATGATTGAGCCAATCGAATTTCGTTTGGTTAGATGGATTCAGGACTGAAAAGTTCAAAGTCCAACAACAGTACTTTTTTAGCACATTTTGTAAGTAGTTAGAGACTCAGGTGCGCGCTTCAGTTAGTGTACATATTGACACTGGTCTGGGTACATCAAACAGATGAAGGAACAATCTTGAAGCGAGAGATGTGATTCCAGAACTGTATGTTTCATTGTTTTAACTTGTTCTTTGTTCTTTTGGGGCTAAGAGATACCCCAATGGAAGAATTGATCAGTATTCTCAAACTAGCAGCCTTAGAAGATTTCTTTGTAGCACTAAAATGGAAGAACGCAGAGAATCTTTTTGTAATCGGGGCTTCTTATTTGTACTACGTGACTAGGAGCATGACTGGAATTCATTAGCCTAAAATGCCACAGTGCCTTTTTTTTTTTTTTTTTTTTTTTTGTAGAAACTGCTATAGTGTGACCTTTGTTAGAGGCCATTTTTGACAGTCAGTCTCACCTCATGAATTCATACACAGTTGATACACAATTGGTATTATTGAACCATTAATTTTCGAGATGCTATTGAACAATCAGTTGATACACAATTACTCAATTAGTATTATTGAACGATAGTATTTTCCAGATGCTATTGACCCATTAAGTTTTCAGGGGAAATTTACTTCCTCACATCCTTTTCAAGATTTATTGGATTTATTCCTTTACAACCAAAGCGGTGGAGCAATCGTAAGTGGTATTACCAAGTCGAGAAATTGCACGGATTCCTTTTTCCCCTGCCCTCTTCAAGATCTTCTCCAGACAGTGATGCCCTACGAACAGAACTAGAAAACAGGACGCCATGGATTGACACTTATTTGGCGACAGTGTCGGAGGCGGATTTAGGGTGGGGGCCATGGCCTCCACTGGCCCCATCCTAAACCTATAATATCTATTTAATTAATTTAATTTTACTTAGGACTTTTAGTTAAATATTATTTAATTTACTAATTTTATGTAATTTGGCCTAAAATGTCCTGTTTATTTTTCACAAATTTTTTTTGGGGCCAATGAATATAATTCAAATCGAATGTGAAATTTTAAATCATAATTTTTTTAAATCAAATTTTTAGTTATATCAATTATAATCAAACTAATTATACCAAATTCATTTCAACTGATAATATTGTGTACTTATATACATTGCAACTAGAATATTCAATAGTTATACACTTCTTGTTTCATATCTTAAGATCTTTATACAGTATGTGCCAAAAAGGAGTTGTGAAATTTATTTATTTTTCTTTTTAAAAATGCATAAAGAGATGTAGTGATTATAGAAAGATTTAAAAAAAAAAAAACACTAAAACGGTAAAAAGTCATTTACAGTTTTTAAATTTAAAATTCTATGTACATGACTATGTATTAATGAAATTCATAATATATTTAAACTTATTATGATTATGACTATATGGTATCAAACTATATATGAAAGTTCACTGTACGGACTAATAGGATAAGTAATATATTTTTGGACAATGTATTTTGGCCCTGCTACGTTCTCGTTTTGGATCCACTATTATTGGCGAAGTGTCCAACCCATCGAATTCGCAAGACATTTTACGTCTTTCTTTGGCAAAAACAACAAACCAAACCGAGAATAAATTAAATCTCCAGCTAAATGTTGTATATGTATTTTTGGAGTGGGAAAAGGACAAAAACCTCCCCGAGTTATGTCCTAAATACTAATATCACCCCGATGTTTCTTATAAGAACAATTGACCCCCTTGATCGCTAATCAACTGTATAATTGACTTCCCTTGACAACTAAAATGACAAAAATACCCTTTCATCTAAAAACAGTTTTTTGATCCACATTTTATCTTCTTCTTTTTCAATGGCTTATTTTGCTTGAAGAATTTGTTCAGGAATAACAATATTCACCAATTTTTGTGAAAAATAATTTTTTTAATTAATTTTAGTAAAAAATTAATTTATTTAGGGTTGAATTTTGTTTTCAAAAAAGGATATAATTTGTCCAAAAAATAGCATAATTGCAGCATTATTCATCTTTTGAATTAGTAAATTGTTATTAAAATCAACGTAGAATATGGTTGAAAGTCTATCATTTTTTAAAAAAGAAATTCAATCATAGATAAATTGGTATTTACTTAATTTTTTTAAAATAAAGTGTTTTCTTAAAAAAATTGGTAATTGTCTTATCCTTAAATAAATACTTTACAATTTGTTGAAAAAGTTTTTTAAAAAAGGTAAAATTTATCCACAAAAAAATTGATTTTAGGTGAAAAGGGTATTTTGGTCATTACATACATTTTTTTTGTTATTTTTGCCCTCAAAAGGGTTAATTATGCCGTTGACTGACGATCAAGGGGGATAATCATCCTTATAGAAAAACTCAGGGTTGTCTTAATATTTGGGACATAACTCAGAGGAGTTTTTGTCCTTTTTCCATAAAGAAACAAAAAAGCAACTGATTCCGCGAATGACTTCAAAGGAATTTTATTATATTTGTTGCTTCAAATTTCTTATTACATGTAACAACTGCAAAAAAAAAAAAAAAAGGTGCAATTTTAGATTAATAAAACCTCTTTTGAACAACAATAAAGTTAAGGAGCATGAGTGTTGCCAGTATGTTATTGATGAACTAAACAGTGGTTTAAAGAACTTCAACGAAAACATACACACATACACACACATTCTTTGGACAAATTAAAGGAGAGAATTAGAAGAGAGGAGACGAGAGGAGAGGATTTGGAATGGTCTTAGACTCTTATTGTATGATGGCCTGAAGAGACCAAACCAAGACGAGAGTGAAATTGAACATTCAGAAAATGATCCTTCCAAAAAAACTGATAGCAAAGTTATCAACTGAAAATTTTTCATAAATTTTTGAGCCCATCAAATTTAGAATTTTGATACTATTTCTCTAAAAGATAAATCGAGAAAAATAAATCAATTTAATATCGAAAAACATAATTTAGAAAATATAAAACCGTGTGTATTACACTAGATCCGGATCCATTGTTCCATTTGTTGATCCGAATCCATATAAGAAATTGCCCAATCAATAGGAGTTTCATTGGACTGAAATCGATAAGTAATCTACTCTTGGAGAGAGTTATCATACTTTAAAAGTCAAACTACTTTTATATTTGGCAAGGTAAGATATTTTTGTAGATATGGATAATCTTCTCATAGACAAGGTAAAATACCAAATATAATTAATACAAATTTATCACAGATGCCTCAAAAAGTTGACGCAGATCAATTGACGGGGATGGAAATGAGGTAGAAAATGTGAATGATCAGATGAAGAAGGATCGACATATATAGTTGTATCATATTTTAAGTTTATCATTCTCAAAGTGTAACGTATATATTTGATTAAGATATTACTCTCTTCGTTCAAAAAAAAATTAAATTTTAAAAATAAAATTTTAAAGTTAGGCGTATTAGATTATATTGTATCACAAAAAGTATTATAAAATTGAAACACAAAATCACATTTACTTCAATTTTTCATAATTTTTTGATTGGAAAAGAAAGACATCCAATTTCATAGATTTTAGTTTTGAACATTGGTTTTTTTTTCTTTTTTTCTTTTTTTGACAGAAAGGATTGAAAGGATTTTTTTATTTTTCATATTTTATTTTTTTTATTTTTTATTTTTTAAATAAAATTTTCCTTTCACTGGTTTTTCCTATCGTGAAAAGATGATGGCGATGGCTTTCCCAATAGCCTAGATTTGGCCAAGTTCTTTATTCAAAATTTTATCTCACACCTTTTATTTTCAAATTTATAAAAAAAATTTATTAAAAAAATTCTATGATGTAAAATGTGACACTATATACATTTTAATTTTTCTCCATTACAACATAAAGCCAAAATGAATCTAACAAAAACAAAAACAAAAAAATGAAGGAGTGCATCTTTTGCTTCAGTTTCAAAAAGAGAACATTTGGTTCAACTCACATCATTCAGCAAGTAAGTAGTATCATTTTATTAAGATTAAGTACATGTAAAAATACAGTCCACTAAATTTGATATAATTTCTTATCATATCTTCCACTTTAGAAGTGATTAAGTTGGTATTAACTTCCTAAAATGTGCCCTAACCTGTCTTCTTAATAGCAACAATATATTAATTTTGTTCATTCAAAGTTTATGTATGAGCTTGAAAAAAAGTTCATTTATGTCGATGTCTTTTTCTCTTAATTTCTTTGTTTTTGTTTTCTGTTTCTTTCTTTTTAGACTGCTCCGGCATGGATATGAGCACCTAAATTTATGATTATAAGCACATTCTTACAATTCTACCCGACCTTTTCATCTTTATTACTTCATTACGCGCGCATTTGGCTATTGACTCGAGTTTATGGCAGGGCGGAGCCAAACCCCCTGCATATGATGGGGCAAAATTTTTAAATTTTTAATTTAATATATTTGTCCCTAATATTTTCAATTCAGTTGGGACAAAAATTTATTTTTTTAAAAAAAATTCTAAAATTTCAAGGGATTAATAAGAAAAAAAAATTTCCAGCTGGGGCAATTGCCCCACTTCCCTTGTATATAGCTCTGCCGCTGGTTTATGGTCACCAATATTTCTTCTTTTTTTTTCTTTCTATTCTAATGATGCATTGGCGTCTTTTTCTTTTTTTTTTTTTCATACTTGTCATTTCATAGACATTCTCATAAATCCATATTTCATAACAGATAATATTTTTAAATTTTACCTACAAAGAGAAAAGGAGATTTTGAACCATGAGTACGTGATAATATCACTATATATTAAAAGACACAAAAGTTCGAAGTTTGGTAACTTTTAGTATAACATTCTTTTAGGTGCAAAAGAAAGGTGGTCGACATTGCACAATTTGTAGAATTTTCCTCTTTACAATAGTGACAAAATATGGTCTTTCCCCTTGTACTAAAGATTACTTGCCCGTTCCTTGCTTCTACAAGAACACGAAGCACGCTTTTACGCAGCTTTACGCCTTCACCTCATACTCTTAAGTCTTTTTCCCTCTTTTCCCTAGGCAGCTTTGTTAGTCCCAAAAGAAAAAAAGAAACAAAACTCTAAAGTAATTCTTGTTGATCATTGGTTGTATAATGATCAAATATTCTTTAGCTCATTCAACCCGCAAAGGTTAAAAAGGATAAAAGAGAAAATCACACTAACAAAGTATTGATTGCTTACGTAGGCTGCTCTAAGTTCTGAATGTATAAAAAGGTGATATGATGTCTTACACTAATTTGTCTGTATCACTATCAGTTCATTTCTTTTTATATCGATAATTTTCGTTTCATTTTTTTCCTCCTATATTTTCTTTTAACATCTTCATTTTACTTTTATTCGATTGATTTTGCACGTATGCTTCGTAGTCTAAGAATGAGATTGATCGTTTAAAACTTAAATAAAATTGCTTTTAAACCTACGTTGCAATGATAGTTGCATAGTTAAATAGTTATGGTTAACACCGCTGCTAAATCAGACTACAATTCAATATATTATTTAAATTTAAACATAAATTTTAAATATTTTTGATTCTGTATCATTGTTTTTATAAATGCAATCGCTACACAATTACTATGCCTATAATCACATCATTATCAACTCTAAACTAACGAAAATTTTATCCTTTTTTTTTATAGAACATGTTTGGTACACACAATAACTAGTATGACCTATGACCAGAGAATCTCAAAATTTGCATCACTGCCACCTTTATAAAGTCCCTTCTGTCTCTAAACCTCGGTCTCCCTTCCGATTTCAGTAAACACCTAAAGCTAGTCAAGCTAGCCCTGCAAACTCAGAAGTCGAAAGAAGAAGCCTGTGAGTTTTCCAAAAACCTGTTCAAAAAGAAAAAGCAGAAAAAGTGAACAAAACATTGGGTTGAGGTTTTGGGTGCAGTTTTATCACATAAAATCAGTAAGAAGAAGAGGTGATTTCAATTCTTGGGTACTTACCATAAAGCTTTTTTTCATAAAAGGGTGGGTGTTTTGGGGTTTTTTCAGTCAAGTTATGCGTGCAGGGTCGAATTCAAGCAGTACAGCAGTTCAACAAACCCTTACATCGGAGGCTGCTTCAGTTTTGAAGCATTCTCTAAGCTTAGCAAGGAGGAGGGGTCATGCACAAATCACTCCTCTTCATGTGGCTGCAACTTTATTGACTTCAAGACTTAGTCTTTTGAGAAGGGCTTGTCACAAATCTTACCAGCAACAACCACCAATTTCACATCATCCATCACTTCAGTGCAGAGCTCTTGAGCTCTGTTTCAATGTTGCTTTGAATAGGCTTCCCACTGTGACCTCTGTTTCTGGCCCTGTTTTCCATGACCAGCAGCCTTCTCTGTCTAATGCTTTGGTTGCTGCTTTGAAAAGGGCACAAGCCCACCAGAGAAGGGGTTGTGCTGAACAGCATCAACAGCAGCATCAGAACGTTAATTTGGGTGTTAAAGTTGAGTTGGAACAGCTGATTTTGTCAATTTTGGATGATCCAAGTGTTAGTAGGGTGATGAGAGAGGCTGGTTTCTCAAGTATTGCAGTGAAGACTAATTTGGAAGAAGAGTGTTCTGTTTCATCTGCAGTTTTTCAGTACTGCTATAACACTGGAGGGATTTATTCCACTCCAAGCTCTCCTCCTCCTGCTCTAGAAATTCAACCCAAAGAATCATTCATCAACCAAAACAGTATCTTGGGGCATACCCATTTGTTACCTCAGTCTTCTGAGCTGAACCCTTTTGGTATTTCACCTCAAAACAAAATCCAAGCTCATCCCACCTGCACTACACAAGAAGATATCCACTTGGTCATAGAGGTTTTGCTGAGGAAAAAAAGGAGGAATTGTTACATCATTGGTGATTCAGTTTCTTTAACGGAGGGCCTTGTTGCAGAGTTGATGGGAAAAGTGGAAAAAGGTGATGTTCCCGAGGAGCTAAAACATGCCCAGTTCATCAAATTTCAATGCTCATCAGTAGCTTCTTTGAGGTTCATGAAGAAGGAAGAAGTTGAGTCGATCATTTCGGACCTTAGACGAAAAGTGGAGTCCGTTTTGGCAACATCAGGTGGTGGCAATGGAGTAATTATTCATACAGGTGATTTGAAATGGACAATCATTGATGAGGATGTCACACCAGAAAACTCAGGTTATAATCCAGTTAATCATCTTATTGGAGAGATTGGAAGGTTAATATCTTGTTACAGTAATTCAAATGCAAAAGTTTGGGTAGTTGCAACTGCAGATTATCAAACATACATGAGAAGGCAAAAGCAGTGGCAATCACCTCTTGATATTCAGTGGGATCTTCAAGTTCTTTTTGTCCCATCAGCTGGATTAGGCCTTAGTCTCAAGGCCGCAAGGTTAGGATTTTCTCTTGTCTACTTCCTATTAATCCCACATTTTTTCAGTTGTTTACCACTAATTACTCTTACTGTATAAAAAAATGGTCCATTTGGTTGAATTGGATTGACAAACTCATTTTTTTTTTTTTTTTTGCTTAGGAAAATGCAGATTTTAGATGCATTATCTTTGTCTTGTCACTTGAGACCATAGAAATATGTGTAATGCTTTTGAACTTGCAGCAATAAGAACTAAGAATACTTTAAAGTAAAAATAAATCTTTTTTTAACAACAAATAAAAGGAAAAACGATGTAGTAGCTAGAGATAATTTTTGTCTTTTCATATGGGCTAAAAATCAGTCTAGCTACACTGCTTTCATCATTGTTCTTTTTAGCTTATTAACAGTGGGCTTTTTTTTTTTTTTTTTCATAAAGAAACCATATCTGGTTGGTCCTTCAGATTTCTGCAGTCTCCTTTTGGTAACCTTCATGCTTTTCTGAACTTAGGCCAAAAGTCCGTGCCGCTTTGAAAAAGTTAAAGCTAAATTAGAAGACAGTATTTTTTTTGTCCTTTTTGTTACTTTCTTTCCTTGTCTATAAATGTTGGGACAACCTGACTGTCTTTAACTTTTCACCTTAGGTGGGAATTCCTCTCATAAGAACAAAAGGATATCATGAATAAAAAGTAAAAACTAAGGGAAGATTCTTCAAATAGTTACATTTTTCAAGTAATTAAATAAATATTGTACGCTCTCAATTCCTTACCATTTGTGTGACAATTCTTGCATATATGTGCATTAGCATTAGCGTTACCCATCCAATACATTTTTCCTCTTTTGCAGTTTGCAAGGACAAAAAATGGCTATCTTACCACAAACTATGAGTTTTTGCAAGGACCAAAAGCCATTCACTCCCAAGGAAGAACCCTATAATAGCTTGTCTCCATTGTGGGAAAATCACAGCAGCATGTTCCATCAGAACTACAAACCCTTCTCTATCCCTAATCATGATAATGTGAACTCTAATCAGACTGCTGAATCAGTGCCTCGATTTCGAAGGCAGAAATCGTGCCATATTGAATTCGGTTGCAACGATGGAAACACCAAAACTAGTATTGGAGGCGAGCCGAATCTGCATTTGCTCAAAACCAGGTGCAATGAAGGTAAGAATCTAGAAGAGATGATCACATTGTCCCTGGGGACTTCTCCTGTCTCCGAAAAATCGACTGAAGAAGCTGCTGTTATGATGTATAAGTTGCTGTTAGAAAATTTGCCTTGGCAATCAGGGAGCATTCCAGTCATTGTTGATGCTTTGATGATGAATTCGAAAGAAATGAAACAAAAGGACACTTGGATTTTGATTCAGGGAAATGATTTCATTGGTAAAAGAAGGTTGGCCTTTGGGATATCCGAATCGCTTCTTGGTTCTACTGACAACATTCTATTACATATCAACCTGAGAAAGAAAGAGGAATTCCCTGGAAAGAACTGTGAAATGCTGAAAACTGCATTAAGGGATCGGATTAGGCGAGTTGTTCTACTGGAAGATGTTGATTTCTCAGGTCCAGAGCTTTTGAAATTTCTTGATGATGGATTCAGAGCTGGAAGAATTGGAACATCATGTGAGAGGAGTGAAGGAACCATTTTCATACTGACAAAGTCTGACTCTAAAAGAATTGGAGATGATGATGATTCGGCTGAACCTGATTTCGTAGTTCAGATGGAAATGCTAGTCTCTGGAAGAACTTCTGGTACATCAGGACCTTGTCAATACTCTGATCACAAGCGTAAAGTGGACTGGAATTGTTCAACAAAGAACCAGAACAAGATTCCAAGGAAGGTTGAGAAGGAAAACAGTCAAATCAGTGCAAACAAGATCGATCTCAACATAAAAGCTGAGGAGGTCTCAAATGATGATCAACACATGTACTCCCTCAGTTTCCTCGACCTGATCAAAACCCGTTTCACTTTCAATCGAGATTCGCAACAGGATGCGCAGATTAAGGAAATGTTCTTGTCCAGCATCAGACAATCTTTTGAGGAAGTTCTTGGGACAAAAAACCTGGATTGTTTTATTGTAGAACAGGATGTTTTGGAACATGTTTCACTTGGCTGTGGAACATTCCTTCAAGGGTTGTTTGAAAAGTGGCTGAAAGACATTTTTCAAACCAGCTTGAAAAGGATCAATGTTTACCAGGAGGAGGGGAATATTAGCTTTAGGCTTTGTATGAAGGGCAGTGGAGGGAATGGGTTAAAAAATGGTTTCAAAGGTTCTTGTCTTCCCAATGATGTTCTAGTTTCATTTTTGGACTAGGCCTTTGTGATATCGTTTTAAAATCCAAAGATGTAAATTACTTAGTTGTATGCTACCCTAATCAATGTTTTTGGAGAAGATATTTTGGTTTACCAGGCCACAATTCTATACTATTAATTAATACCTTTACGTGATTACGTGATATGTAATTCTTATTATATCATTCTTCAAGTTATAATTTAGCTACGCAAGTCACATTAGATGATGATTTGTTTTTATTGGACACGATAGACAGTGTGCGCATATATATGAAATTTAAATTTAAATATATTTTAATAATAATGCTTTGATTTTCTTTTTAGGATTATGTCGGTTTAATGAAATTTTGAACCAACAATCTCACTAGAATAACAATTTTTCCTCTTATCCCTCTAAAAAATATTTAAATAATATAAATCTCTGTTGCTAATGCCCTTCCTCTTCATTTTTATTCTTCTTTGCGGTGTGGCTAACCCATTCAACTAAAAGAATTAAAGTTACTCTCTATTTTGTGAATTTTAGTGTATTTCACAACAACAACAATAATAATAAGGCACCTTTCTCGTTTGCATGAAAAGTTGTGGTGGGGTGTGAAATAAAAGTATCTTCAAGCAATAATTTATGAATTATAAGCTTTGGCAATTGCAGAGAATGTAATGATTACTTGGCTTTGTTTCATGGAATATCCTGCTTTGTTCCTCAAATCTACCAAAAGTGATCAGATCGTATACGCTTTTTATACAAAATTAAGGATAATGATTTATGTAGGGAAAATTTACAAGAAATATTAATTGAGAATGAATTCTAATTTCTAACTTTTCATACTTATATTTTATTTTTGGATTTTATACTTTTAAGAGTTAAAAATATAATTAGAATTCAACCACATCATCATTTTCTGTTAAAATTCCTTGTAAATTTTCCTTACATGTATGATCTTTGTTGCAACTTTGCCACCACCTGAACCTCATTTTTAGACTTTGATAGCTCTGTTTGTGAAGTAATTAGGCTGATTCTTCTGCACCTTTGCTAATTCCCTGTGCTTCTGGTTGGGGGTTTTGAACCCAGGTTTTGGTTAGTGGTTTCCTGCACTGGATTGTTTCATGCGCATATCCTTTGCTTTGGAGTCATTGGTCAGGAAACCATTCGTACTTCACCTTTCGCTCTTGCAGTATCCCCCGTTCATTTTCACACCAGACTTCCTTGGGCAAATATAAGAATTCAGATTCGTGGTATTGGACTGTAATAGATAATTGTCTGTAAATCTGTATATTTTTGGTCTTAATATAATTTGCTGTTTACCAAAAAAAAAAAATAATATTTTAATTATAATTTAAATTTAAGAAAATTTAAATTTATAATAATAATAACATCATTTAATGTTCATTCCCACTTTTCTAACTCATTTTTAATGGTTGGCTTATTTTTTGCATTCTATTTCACAGTTTCACAATCAACAATTAATCAAGCATGTGATATTTTTTCACAACTAAAAATCAACTTAATAATATATTTTACGGCAGTGATAATGCCAGGTCAAAAATTAGCATCCATAGCAATTTTTTAATGTAATATCCAAAATGCCCTTATTTGCTCAAATGGGTTCATCTTCTCTCTCCCACCTCCTCGGCTATCCGCCGTTTCAATCTCCGGTCTCCCACCTTCTTCGATTTAATTTCCGGTGAACTCTAAACTCAACGAATTCATAATTGTTTTCTTCTATCCGAGCGTCTTTAAGGTTATTAACTTTGAAAAATCTAACTAGTTCTTTTTTTTTAATGTTATTATAACTATCGGATTCAGAGAAATTGGAAGGGTCCAATGGCAGAAACTTTGAATATTATTATTATTATTATTATGAGAACAACCAATACTAGGATGGGAAACCCAAAAGGTGACAGACACAAAATAACCCTTCTCACATTTTGAAGAATTTAGAATATTATAGGCTTCAAACAAAAATCATCTTCATTATTACTTTGTTCTTTCTAATTAATCTATTGCCCCATATATTTTACTTCATTTCTTATTAAATTCAAACGGCGGGTAGTATATGGTATTCTTCATACTGTGGAAAACTTTAATAATTACATCTTCTATCCCAACTAACGTTAACTTTTTTTTAAAAAAAAAATCCACTCCAGTGACCCACTTAAATATGGGTAAAACCCCTTTTACAATCTCCGGTGAGAGTCGAACCTGATTTGTTACCAGGAAAAACAGTAACCTAACCAATAAATTGTCATTCAATTCAACTAATGTTAACTTTTTATAACGAATAAAAAGCCAATGATTATAAACTATGAGGCCAAACAAAAAGTTAAGTACTACATTATGTTAGGGAATTGGAAAATGATTGATAATATATAGTATCACCATTATGTTTTATTTCTAATTTTATTCTCTTCAATTTCATAACATGATCTCAATATCATGATTAAGGTAGCACTTGTACTTCTTCACTTTAGTGCCTATTTCCACTCCATTGATGTTCTCCTCTTCTTGTTCAAATGTTCCGTGAGCTTTTAACTGAAATAATTAAATTAAAAGATAACAAATACTCCCTCCCTCCGGTCTTTATTAAAATACATTTTGATTTCGTCCTAGGTTTCACCTGAGATATCTTTTTAATTAAAATAAAAACCTTAAAAATATTTCATAGTAATTAAGAGAACATAACAAATGTGAAAATATATTTTTAAATTTTTTTTCAATTAAAAAAACATCTTAGGTGAAACCAAGAACGAAATTAAAATGGCTTATAATAAGGAGTGGAAGGAGTATTAAGGTGATATTCTTATAACAAAGGCGATACAATGTAAAACAAGTTGAAGCATCTCAGTGTCAAACACAATTAACAACGAAAAGAAGTGAAAATTATATTCCCTCTGTCTTATAATTATTGTCCAGTTTTGATTTTCATTTTTAGTTCAAATTATACTAAAAATGAAATCTCAAACTGGATAATAATTTTGGGACAGAGGGGGTAACTTTTTATCAATTTTAATTGAAGAATTTTGTTAAAAAGAGCTAAAAATTTAGAGATAAGTTTTTATACGGTTGAAGGGGTATAGAATGGATTACTTGCCCCTCCCAGCTTAACATAATTGTTTTTTTATTTATAAATTTCCATTGTCTCAAATTAAGGTTCACTGTTCAAAAGGTTTAGCTATCATGATCTCTTTGAGGTTTGAACAAATTGTGGATCAAGTGTTTGAATCGAAACCTCTCTTTTGACTAGCCAAATGACAAATTGACTCCTACAAAGTGTGGGAATGATCCGCAAAGAATAAATAAATAAATTATATTTGCTTCAATTTTCAATATTCATTTATACGTACGACATCAATCATTCGGGAGAGACGAAATACATATTATCGTCGATCTAATATCATACTCTGTGTTTCCAACATCAAAAAGTCCAATAGTTAAATTCCGAAATTGGACTAGGTTCACCATGAATTGACATCAATGCTTCATTGCATTACTAACGCATTTAATTCATCTATAATTTCTAAATAGGTTTTACCTGTGCTTTGTTTGTCATTTACATCATATCCACATTTCTATGATGGTTTTGGGACTGATAGAGACGATCCCTTCTGAACATTTCAGAACATTTATTGGTTTAGAGCTTTACCAACAAAGATTTGACTGGGATGAGAAGAGGAGTTTGAAATGGATAATTGCAAAAATCAGTGACCATAATCCTACCTATATACAAATAACACTCCTTTTTGTTAAGACAGTATTTAAAAATAAAACAAAACAGTCCATTTTATCGAATCAAAATAGACTATTTTTCTCAGATAGGCGAGTACTACGGATAACAAATGCAAAAACTATCATAATTTAGTCATCGACAACTAATCAAAGCCAGAGGCTTCTTACTTCCTAAGATATCTCCACAACAATATTTTTATATACAGGCTCCAGGATATAGATGAACAAGACTGGGTCTGTTCCCAAAACACCCTTTACCTCAACCCAATATTGTGCATTGAGTCCTTGAGATTATTGGGTACCTCAGAGGCAAAACTTGGGCATGGAGAATCACTGAGTTCCAAAAAGTGCTAATTGGTTAGCGGAGAAGGAAAAATATGACGTTGACAGCGGCTGATAACAACATGTATGAGAAGCAAAGGGAATGGCTAATCAAGTGATGCAGAAGTCAGGTCATTTACCACCCCAACCTTCAGTAGCAGGTGTAGTTGCTCCCCAGTTATTCACCCGCTCCATTCCCCACTGCGCTTTTCCCAAATCAAAATGTGGAAGTTGCTGTGATCCTAACCAATTAGCTGCGGATGTACCTCCCCAATCTCCAGTTGGAGTTAGCGAATTAGCAGATGATGTCCCTCCCCAATTCCCATTTGGAGTTAACCAATTCGCAGAGGATGTGCCTCCCCAGTCCTCACCTGAGACATTAGTATACCGCAGCTTTTTGGTCAATGGTAAACTACTTGGTCTTGCATGGTCCCTTTTATGCGAAACGGGAACATCTTCTCTCCCTACTGCCATGTTCACCTGACGTGCAATAGGAGTCGCAACAGCAATAGTATTATCCATCACAGGTGTCACTGCAGTCCTCTTCAAGTTAGCAATTCCAGCACCAACTAATGGCTTAGCTGCCTGGCCAAATAAAAGTTCCCTTAATCTGTATCCTTCAATTTGGCCATCCATGTACGCAAAAATATGTTGGATCGATTGCTGGATGCATTTGTAAATAGCTTTAGATTCTGCAGGACCTACAGCCCTTGCTACATTTTGTGATCGATCTGTGAAATCCTCAACCTATAAGCATGATTATGAAAAAGAATTACTTTTAAAAGTGATGAAATATGAAATAACTGGATAAGCAGATAATTACACTGATTGTGGCAACTTTGGAATCAAAGGTTTTTGATTTCCAGGACCCTTCATAAACACTTGCACAAAGACCTTTGGGCCAAAGCCTCTCAACTGACGATAACTGCATGCAGGGGAAGAATGTTGTATCCGTCATTCACCCCCAGTTGTGGAACAGAAGTAGATGGCACAAAAAACTTTCGCATTCAATGGACGGCAAACGTATAACCTTTATCAGTAGAGAAACAAAGAGCTCAGCCACTGATTCTTTGTTACCTCTTCCAAAGTTCGCAAAATTACCGAGCACCTTTACCACTGATGCAGGATCAGTACCATCTGAGACATCTCATGATTAGTCCAAATGGATGCAAACTATATACTCTTTATACTCAAATCTTAAAAGCCAAGTAAGCAAATGCTTAAAAAATTCAGCAAACACGCAGCACGGTCAATCTCCATCATGGATGAAAGTAGCAACCATGCATCAAATTCTGCTTCACAAGGGAAGCCATGCATGCACTTTATCTTAACACCATGCTAAAAGAACAGCCATTTGCTCTTCACATATCAGCACCAGAAGCGGTAAAACTTCGCGTAAAAGCTATGTCATTACATCAAAAAGCAAGTGAACTTGTAGATGTTTCAAACATGCAACAAAATGCAGTAAATGATTTTTCATATTATGAAAAAAAAGAAAAGAAAAAGAAAGAAAAGACTACAGAATACCAGGTCCAATGATTAGGACGGAACATTCATCTGATTGAAGAACTCATTGGCTTTACATTTAAACATAAAAGTATGCCAACCAACAGACATCCGCAGGCCAATCACAACACTAAAGCACCAATGACTTACAACAATGAATCCATTTTGGGAGGAGAGTTATTACCTTTGAATAAGTCATGAAATGGAGGTAGTATAGGAGGATTTCGGGTCTGCACACAGAGGAAGAAGCCAAATGTTATCAACAGAGAATTGGGAATAAAAATAAATAAAGTAAACCAAGACATGCAGCTTCATAAACTTCAGAATTGGAAACTAACCATGATTATTTACCAAAAAAATTACCACGAAAGCAAGGACAAGATGCAATAGTTGTTATATGCTTTACTTATTGACTAACGGTAACAAGCGTTATGAAACTAGAAATCAAAGAACCAAAGCAACCAGAACAAAATTGATGGAGGGAGTAAGTCTGGAACTGCCCCTGAGAACTTTCCTCTGGGAGTTGAAAACACCATCCCCACCAGAATAGGCGCCCTAGTTCCACTATTAGGAAAGGAAAAAAAAAAAAAAAAAAAGACATCTTGATGGAAAAACATTTCCAAATTATGAAGACCACTACTCACATTTGGAATATGATCTATGCTAAAAAAAGGAAAAGAAAACAACATAAAGAAAAAAATTCAGATCTCAGATTCAAAAAAACAGCATCACATGTATAGGCAAAATGTTATCATTCTGATAATTCAACAGCCTGATAATTCTGATAATTTTTGCTGCAGGTATCACCAAGATTGAAAACCCATACTCAATTTAATAACATAAGCTAGCAGGTAATATATAAGGCAGATACAGACCAAGAAATATTCAAAACAAAACAGTAAAATGTAAAACAATCCATCTCAAGTCTCAACTCCACAGCGACATTGAGAGTAGTGTTGATAAAATATTTACTGTAAAGTTGAATAGGTTCTATTGGGACAAAGAATCCCACATCGGTGTCGTGAAGGATCTGTCACCTGTTTATAAGCTCCAAAGGCCACCCCACTCATTACAAATTGGTTTTGAGATGGGAGCCTAAGGTGACTTTGAAGGTTCATCAAACACTTGGATAAAATGACTCAACAGGCTGTTTTGCAAACCCTATCTCATGGTCTAGTAACAGGAGAAGATTTCGAACAAATGATTCCACCAACAGTTTCCTTGCGTATTTAAATAATAAATGAAAGCATATATGTGACAGAGACAAAGAGAAAATATCACAAGTCACAAATCGATGGTTACAGAAACCAATAATTGGACATGAAAATAAAAGAAATAATATATAAACCAAAGCCATACCTGTAAATGAAAAGCAACCAAAAGTATAATGGATAATGAATTTAATGTTCCATCTTTTGAACTATTGATTTTATGTGTCTTCGCCCATACCTTCATCTGCATGGGTGAATTACTTTGTCAGTGAGATCCAAAGTTCAAGCTTCAAAATTTACCACAAATTGAAATTAAACACAATGGTTAATGTTTACCAATAACAACCAGGCAAGAAATACTCCAGCATGTACTCTAAACTTCCTAGTGGATTGTTCACCAAAAAAAAATTATAAATAAGATTCCTAATAGATCAGCAAAGCCTTAAGATGCATGATACCACACTCAATACCTCCTGCTAACTAAATGAAATGTAGGTGTTCACTTGTTGGGCATAAACTGGTAAAGAGTCAAGTGTTGATTTTCACTTCAACCACTCTGTTATTGCGGCAAATTACAGGATCTTTCCCCTTGATGTTTCTTTTCTTTTCTAATTATTTCCAAAATATGAAGGCTTTTTAAGTTTGAACCATTATAAGGACTGACCTAATAGGTTCAGCTTTTCACAAAGATCTTATCTTGGGCCTCTGCCAGTTCTTGCTCCAGACATTTATCATAAAATAGGATAATTAAGCTTACATTATGGTAACTAACATAAAACTGAGAGCATACACTGCCATATTAAGGCTACTATCATGGTCATCAGGACAACAACCAAGCAACAAAATGATAAACAACCCTAATTGTCCAAGCAACAAAATGATGGTAAACAACTCTAAAAGCATAGACGGGAAACTGTAAGTCAGTTGGAAACTACAAGAGGAAAAATTTAAAACATTTTTTTCAAAAAAGACAAGGATGATCCAATGAAAAGATACTGACAAATATGCAGCACAAGTATGTCCAAGATGACAATTACCAAAAAGCTTAGCTTCCGAAACCTCTCATCTATTGAACAAATCATATAAATTAACTTGGATTTTAGAACTCCATCTTGGTTTTCAACTGATAAATCACACTCAACACCAGTTCCACGGTCCACAACTTTAAGAACAGGAACTTTGGCGGTAGTAACTGGATGGACACCATAAACATGACCACAACCTGCACAAAGATGTAGAATGATAAATATAAAAAATCTAGAGATGCGAAGTTATACACATCCAGTAGAAAATGATGTTGTCCAAACTAAAACAATAATCCTGATAAGAAAAGAGGAGAATTGTGCAATCTTCTTATTCTCTTCTTCATCCACATTTCAAGACAATGTCAATAATCTTCCAAATGTTTGTTAGGCACGATATCATTGGCAATGAGTAGACAGATAATTAGAAAATATCACAAGAATTGAAAGTTCTTAAAGGAAATGAAACTGAACAAGCTAAGAGCATCAAACTTCCTTCTAATTTATGAGCCAGTTCGTTTATAAAGCTAATGATGCAGCAAAGAAATACAAATCATAAGCTCATATCTAATGGGAATGGGTGTAAAGATCATACCCATTGTGTTTGCCGGAACAGCAGTGCTTAACTCTGTTTAAATACACACATCTTTCCTAATAGTTCCTTCCCAGGTACTTTAAGTCATCTTTGTTTCATGTTTTTTTCATCTGCATTAACAGTACTCTATTTTGTAGACCCCTACTCAACATGTTTATCCCATTTTCTCATCTTCCCGGGCTACTCTCACTTTATTTCAAATGCATTCAACACTATTGAGCATAGTTTGCCTCAAATAAAGCTCAATGTATTTTTGTGGCACACCTTTTTTCTTTTTCTTTTTTTTTTTCAATTTGTATTATTCCCTACACTTGGTCCACAAACTATTGATCGTACATTACTATCTTAATTTGATTTTCCATTCAATTCCAGTGATATAATCAGAAAGTATAAGAGAAGCTCTTATCTAGTTTTTCCAACCAGCTAAATTTTGTGCAACATCTTTATCACTTCAATTTCTCAGAAATTTCCTAAACATAGAGACCTTTCAAATGCAACTAATTCACAGCCAATTTCACATTTACCCTTTTTAAGTGAAACCCATTTATATGATAGTAATTATAATTGGTAAAACTGTACATACATGGAGTACAGCAATCATAGACGCAACAACAGTATAAGTAAGAAAATTGGCTGACAAGAAATGTCAATAGCTTCATCTTCTTTCCTCTATGTATTTTTAGCAATGCAGAAATTACACATTTTACAGATTGCTTTATCTAAATTTTTCTCTTCTTCAATCCATTTGAAGAGAAAATTATTTCTTCTGTTGTAGCAGCACCTTTTATCAGACTGTTTCCTTCCTACTCATCTTTGTTTTCCTGAATAGTCTCTGAAGCAAAAGATATTCTAACTCCTCTTGTTTTCTTTTCTTCCGACATTCTGGAATCCCATACGAACAATAAGCAATTGCAACTAAGTATGCTGTAACCAATAACAAAACTTAATGAGAAATATAACCAAGCACCTTTCAAAGTTTTTCTACAGCATCAGCTAAATATTATCACTTCGCATTCATTCAAAAAAATGTTCATGAATGAGTTGTGTCGACATCCTGCAAGCAGATAACAAGATAACTGAATTTCATTCAGTTATTCAGTCACTCTCTCACCCAAACTAAAAGAAGAGAAACAGACGCCAAGCCAGCATCTTATATCGATATGTGGATATTAGGCTGCAAGCCTAGTTCACCCTTAAGTTTGACACTCATGACTACCCATCTTAATTTTCCAGCTTTCAAAGCATTCATGATTGCAGTATTAATCTCAATAAGAGACTACCATGGAGCAGACCAATTTACCAGAACCCATAGATAACTTGGTAAACAGTACCACCATTAATCATGACTCTCTATCACTGAAATTTAAAGAAAGAAAGCCCAACTGGAGAAACTAATGTAAGGTGACAGTCGATAAGCAACTATTAATTCATGTACAGAGCACAGGAGATCAAATTGTGAAAATTAAAGAATTGTAAAATGAAACAGACATTGTTTGTCTGTTACAGGGAGCATATATTTCTGAACTACAGATCCATGTGAAGAAATGCTTATACTAACTTTCTACAAATACTCATTAGCGAAACAAGAAAATTCGCGTAACCAAAAGAAATGCTTGTCTGTTACAGGGAGCATATATTTCTGAACTACAGATCCATGTGAAGAGATGCTTATACTAAATTTCTACAAATACTCATTAGCGAAGCAAGAAAATTCGCGTAACCTAAAGTACCCCAAACTTCGAGAAAGGAGAATCCAAGATAAGGTAGATATCAACTATGCATTGCAAGTGTTGGTTTAACCTTAAATTTTCTATATGTTAAAAAACATATTTTCGTTCCTCTCTTCTTTATAATCAAATATATACAGCTCTTATATTCAGGACATGTACCTTCCCTAAAAAGTCTTACAAAAATAAAAAAAAAAAACAGAGAAATCCAATGGCATGTACCAAAGGATGAAAATCAGTTGTTGAATGTCACATCTAAAGATTGTGAGCATTATCCCCATCTCGGTCTCAGATCGAATTATAGAAAATTCGCCCAGACTAAACAGAAATAATAACCAACACAAGATATCAAGCTATATATTGTCAAACATGACTGATCAATCATCAAATATACACCATCTGAAACCTCTGGAAAATAAAAAATGCACTTTATTTTTCTTTCCGATCCAGTCCACCCGTCAAAACTTATATTCATCAGCTGCCATTCATATTCCAGATTAAAAAATCACAGGAACTTACGGGTTAGTAGATGCAACAAAAGGAGAGGAAAAAAGAAGATTCCTGTAAAAGAAAATTACTTTGTAGTGCATAAAACTTTCTTGCAAGCTTCCGAAGTGTTTGAATCTTTCTTTCCCGAGTAACCTGAGCTTTACTGCTGGTAAAGTTGAAAGACAGATCTAAATCACTTCTTGGACTAAAAAGATCCATCACAAAAGAGCCAAATTCCACCACAACAGGAACTTCATCAGCTTTCCCTGATAATTATCCAAAAACAGAAAAAAGGAAAAAGAGTGTCATCATGAGAGATTTCTAAAATTCAAAAACAACAAAGGAGAAACAGTTATAAAATATTCAAAAGACTTGGATTAGTGCACTTTTAGTGAAAGCCTACCAAACACTTCTTTTGCAATGTCATTAAATATCCGAACCAAATCTCTTCGCGCTTCATAATCACTTGGCTTTGGACGAGAAACTACGAAAACCTCATCTAACATAGTATCTAGCCAAGGAACTTTCTCTGCGTTAACTTTATAATTCTGCATCCCCTTGCGTTCAAACTTCTCCACTTTCTTCGACAAAACTGTAACCATATGATTCAAACATAGTAACCAGTTGGGAAAATGAACTAAAGCAAAAGCCAAAGAATTCAACAAACCAAACTAAATGATCCTGCAACAATAACGAAGTGGGGGAAAATGGGGAATAAAGAAGCTTTCTTATGTCCCAATTCCCAATGTATAACAAATTCATGGTCATTAGTCATTCTTCCTTTGCCCCAAAATCAAGTGACAAAATTCTAACAATCCTGGTCCCTATATTACTTCCATTTCGGGTACTGAATCAAAATCAAAAAGCCAAAAACTCTTGAAAAAAAAAACCACTTAATACCAGCCACTTCACCCAAAGACATTACCACCCAGAAACAAAGATGTAGCCTTTAGCATGCACACTCAAGTTCTTCATCAAATTGTTTTTAAAAAATTCAACAACACCAAAGCCGACAACAAAATCAGTAAGAGCGACTCAACATTAGAAATTCCTTTTAACCGTAAAAAAAAAAAAGGAATGAATAAATTATAGACCGTACCTTTAAACCGCAAGGCCATGATCATCCGCCCCAAGATGGGAGTATTATATGTGAGTGACTATAATCACAAATGTGAAAGGAAACTCTTCCAAATTGGAACCAAATTTGAAAAGCCTAAAAAAAATGGAATAGACTCTAAAACCCAATTCTCCAATTCTTCTTCATGGCTATGCTGAATTCAATCCTTATCCCCCAATCCATCTTTAAAATTCCATCTTCTAGTGGTAAAGTTGTTCGTTCTTTCCAAAGCTATTCGATGACTGGCAGCTCTTCACTTCTCAATTCCAGAGGCACCATTACAATTCTCAAAGCATATTTGAGGGACCGCAATTCTCTCATGAAGTCTTCTTTTATCTTATTCCCATAAAGGTCCAAAACTCTCAATAAATTACAATTCAGTATCAGAAGGAAAATGTTTTTTTCTTTTGACTCCTGAAGTCAAAGAATTTTCTACTGATAAAGAAGGAAACAAAAACCCGAAAGAGAATGTTCTTTTGTTACTTTACCAAAAGCCCTTCACTCAGTTTCTGGAGGGAAGGGAAGGGAAGTGAGATCGATAATGAAGGCAAGTATTGTAGGGGAGAAGGTGATCTTAGTGCCATACATGAAGGAACATGTTCCAAAGTACCATGAATGGATGCAAAACCCTGCCCTCCTTGAAGCCACTGCTTCTGAGCCACTTACACTTGATCAAGAATATGAGATGCAAGTCTCTTGGACTCAAGACCCTTTGAGTAATTTCTCTTTCTTGTTGGACATTTTGATGGATATTATTGATGGGTTTTCGTAATTGAGGTGTTCTTAAAAGTGGGCTTTTTTATTTTTATTTTTTTTTACGGATTTTGGCAGAGCAAACTTTTATAGTGTTGGATAAGGAGCTGGTTGATGGAGAGTTCTGTCATGGTGATCCTCATACTGAAGGTACTTTTAAGTATTGATTGAGTTGGGTTATCTATTGCTTTGCGTGCCTCTTTATTTATGTCATTGTTCCTCCTGATCATACACTGGTAGTTTATTCCTTTCTGCTATTTCATCTTTCCTTGAATGGCATTGTGCCCTTTTCTTTTCAATTTCGGACTGATTGCCTTAGAAAATTTCGATACTGCTCTACTTAGATATTTGACTGCTGAGGATCTATTGCAGATGAAAGTAGGATGATAGATGCTTATTTCATACATTTCGAATTGGTGTAAGAGAAATAAAAAATAAAATAAAATAAAATAAATAAAATAAATAAAAAAAAAATAGTTTGCCACGACTAGAACAAAAAGGATAGGGGACTTTTCATACAAAAAGTGGAGGGAGAGGTTTGCTCAGACATTTCTGCAATTTCATCTTTCCTTGAATGGCATTGTGCCCTTTTCTTTTCATATTTGGACTGATTGGGTTAGAAAATTTTGATACTGCTCTACTTTGATATTTGACTGCTGAGGAACTATTGCAGATGAAAGTAGGATGAGAGATGCTTATTTCATACATTTTGAAATTCGAATTAATGGAAAAGAAATCAAAATTATTAGTTTGCCGCGACTAGGACAGAAAGGATAGGGGACTTTTCATTCAAAGAGTAGAGGGAGAGGTTTGCTCAGATATTGTGTTTCGCAATGTAACTGTTGACTTGAGATGATAGGGACTAAGAGTACAGAAATTAGACAATACAAGTAGAAAGATGGATTATTATAAACAACTGGTGTTACCTTGTTATTTTGGATTTTGGCTTGTAATTATGTAGATTAACACTTTTTAATCTGCCCCTGAGCATTTCCTTTGTTGAAAAGAGTGGTTGAATCTTTTATTATTCAAGGAAACCCATACACATACATGGATATAATCTCCGTAAGGACTCCGCAAAAAGTAGTCATATTAATGGCACTAGATGTAGTAGGTTAGAAAATCATATTCTGCGGTAGTATATTTTTGTCAAATGTTGTATTCTCACTCTTTCAGCTTGCCCTGCTCTGTTCATGTATATCAAAAATGATATTTAATGATTAGTTTTTGTTGCTGAAGTAATTTTCCTTTGTATCTCAGCAATGGTTGGTGATGTTAATATATACATGAATGACTTGGATGATGCCAAAGTGGCTGAGGTTGAGATAATGATAGCTGAAACAAAAAGGTATCTTCCTGCTGCATCCCACAACTTTATTGACTCTATAGTCTTTCAAGAGTTACATCCTGACCTTTTCGTCTCCCCTCCGTGCTTGTTGAAATCTTTGTGAGGTTGGAAAGGGTCTAAGGGCGTATTTGTTGCACAGAATTAGTGTCTGATTAAAAGTCTCATTTGCATTTCAATTTGTCATCACTCAGGCTAAAGTCAGTTATATTCTCATTTTTTTACTTCAAGAAGTTACGACATCTCTATTTCTTTGCCAATGATCCCATAACCAAATTCTTTTGGATTGTGTTTTCAAATTAACTGTTGATATCTTTGCTTGAATTAAAGGAGAGTCTTAACTTCCATCTTGATTTGCTGTTATGGATGTAAACCAGCTGACCTAGTAATCTGCTAGATGTGTTGTGCTTGTATGCAGTTATCTTGTGTGTATGATATGCTGTCATGGTATGCTTTGATATTGTTCAGGTTACTTACAACTCAATGTTGCTTGAAAAGAGTGGATAACTAGCAATTGAATACCGTAACTTAATTAAGCAGCCATCTTGAAGTCTATCTTGATTTGAAAGATATCTGATACTCTGCTGTGTTTATATTTGCCCTTCCGAAAGGATGATTCAAAAACTACCATCATCAGTATGTGTTCATTAGTACTGTTATTAGTATTGGTTTATTATTTGTATGATGTATTGCTATCATCATCATCATTATTGTCTCCTATGGAAGGATAGAAATAAGTACTAATACGTCTCAGTTATGAATTATTGGAACTTAGTTCTGGGGCTTCAATACATGGATTAGAACATAAGATTATCGAACAACTTCTCTTTTGTTTTTACCATCAGAGGAAACTTTAGTTTGACCTTCTTCCGTGCGTCCGTTTTACTCTTTATGCTGTGTAGAATAGGCATTTAAGCAAAAGAAATCCTGAGCATATTAGGGTAACCGGCTTTTTGTTTTTTACTTCTCTCAGCTTGCCTCTACTAAGTGTATAAGACAGACTGTCTTCGCTGCAGAAATCAATAGTAATTTTTACCTTGATTGTATTTCATTCAAGCCCATCTAGTTACTCGAAAATGCAGTGTTAGACAAATATTTTACTCGATGCCTATACCAGTGAAGAGTTTGGAAGAACAAAGGAAGACTAATCATGCACCAGGTGGTTTGAAATAAAACAACTATGCTCATACATACCAGGTCTGTGAACTTGTAAGTTATATTATTGGATGCACCTCTTGCCAATGGTTGCCGACTCATTTTTTGAAACTTGTACCCCAGTGCCAAATATATATTTGGTGACAAGCATGTTCTTAGTTGCAGACACTCATACAATGTAGATTGCTACTTCTCTGTTAGATGATGTACTCCTGAATTGGAAACCAAGAAGACTGACATCCTCCTCAACCTGTGTAGCAAGTACCCCATAAGAACGAACTTAGAGTGGCCAAAACACAAAATGTACTTTATTTTAAGAATTAGAAGAAAGCTATCAGCCCTATTACCATTTATTGAGGCTCTCACAAACTGAGCGATTTGGCTGGTCAAGTGCTGATGGACGGAGAATCTGTGTATTGGTATATGGTACAATTGTGATGGTTATTAGGAAAGTGGTTTTTTTTAAACTCTTTTAATGAGTATACAAAAAGAAATGCTGATTGATCTAAGACATTCTTCTTTACAGACTCCGATAAGAACCATTAATCTCAATTTTTGACAATGCTATTCCAAAATTCTCTTCTTTCCTTTGCAGGTATTCATCTCTCCAGTGTCCAGAACAATTTAGATGACTTTTAAATGTTCCCTCTGATATAAAGGCAATAGAAGTTGACTGAGTTTGCGTCAAGTATGAGGTTCACTCTCTTTTGACTAAGTAACTGCAAGCTGTTCAAACTAGTGGAAGTTTACCTGCCAACTAGGAGTTGTTAATGAATGGAACTAATGATTGAACTATATTAATACTTTCTCCAGCTTGTTTGTCTGATTAATGAAATTTTATGCGCCTATGAGACCAAGATTTTTCTAGATATGAATGCACGTATGTTGCGGCATGTCAAATAACCTCATTTGAAACAGATTAATGCTTTATAATTAGTTGAGATGTATCAATACAGCAACTCACTAAGAGCCATGATATCTTGGGATTTGATGTTCTGCTTTTTAGAAGTATTGCCAATTTATGCAATGGAGATTATGAGTAGATCCCCATACTCGGTAACGTACTGAGTTGATTTGGTGATTAAAGTTTATCTTTGTTTTCATCTTTCATATGCATTTGGTCAACTGATTTAGGTTTTGATATTGTTGTTGCCTCCTAGATATGGGCTTTCTGAAAGTTGTTAGATTGTCAATGAGAATGAAGTTTCTTGTTCATCGCTTAACTGTATAATAAAAGAGGTTGTCCTGAACCAGATAAGAAAGGTTCGTTCAAGTTAAAGTCCTTGGAAAAATCTTTTAGTTTTCTTTTACTTTGCTTCTCTATATTGCACTTCATTTTGTTTAGCTGATTATCTGCCTATCCTTTTAACAAAAAGGAGATGCTACCTGGATTGGCCTTACTGCATGGCGGATATTGTGATTCCTAAGTGACCATTCCATTAAAGATTGCTATGCTTTGTTCATAAAGTGTCGAGATTCGTGGTTTGGATTAGGCATTGAAGTTTGCCATATATTATGACTTGTTACTTATATGCTTTCAAAAAAAGTGGTGTTGTTTACTTTTTGTGTTTTTACGGTTTTTGGTTTCTGATCGTTGTGCAGTTGTTCTGTCAATTTATTTGAAGCAGTAAAATTTTAAATCTAAGCACGTTGCAGAGGATTTTTTTTATTGTCCTACTGGGAGCATTGAAACCCAACCTTTTGCATGTAAATATCAGTTTCAAGTAGCATTTTGTTGCTTATTGTTCTGGCAGTTTCTATGAATACTAAGTTTCGTTAACAGTGCCTTTTTATACATGTGATTTTTAAAATTGCAGCCGTGGTAAAGGAGTTGGAAAAGAATCAGTTCTGATGATGATGGCATTTGCGGTTGAGAATTTTGGCATCCAAGCCTTTCAAGCTAAAATTGGGGAATCAAATACTGCTTCAATCAGTCTTTTCCAAAAATTGGTATCTCTCTTAACCCCCCTCAACCCCCTCTGATACAGATAGTCTACCCACAAGCACACAAACCCCATAATTTATTTGCTATTAGTTCCTTTATTGACAAGCAAATGAAGATCGCAGTTAAATTGGGTCAGGACAATGTTAACAAGCCTGTTTTTTGTTTTGTTGTTATTTAAACCTGGCAAATGCTGTTTCCTGCAATTCTAATATAGCTGGATTGTTCTCTATGCATTATATTTCGCCATCATTCTCTGTAAAAACACATTCTTAATTCAAAAAGAAAACCGCAAAAAGAAAGGATAACAAGGAAAGTGACAATACTGAACGAATTTAGTACTAAGAAAAAGGTGTGGAACTTATGTACACAAATGTGGGAATAAGAAAATGATTCCAAATTCATAGCTCAGATAATTCTTTGGGGGTAGCTCAGTTCAACAGAGATATTTTCTTTGCCTCCTTCAAAAGAAATACACTGAAGATAGACTTTGGGGTTACTAAGACTGCTGCTGCTTCTACATACTTCTCTTCATCAGGAGGTTTTCCATTTATGGTACTGGAAGATGCAAGTACTTATTTTAATGGAAACAAAACTAGTTAACTACAATATGGGATTGACAGCCACTTTTATTCTCTTTCAGGGATTTGAAAAGATTTCTCATAGTGATATCTTTAAAGAGGTGAGTAACAGTTACATCTACTAACAAGAATGCTAAGATCATTTTATTGTTGTCTTGTTACTGTCTTGTGCTCATCGTTAATTGCATATTTCTTACCTCAAAAACTGCTCACACAAAAGATATCTACAAGCTATGAAAACCTTTTGTGGCATATCCTGCCTCTTCCACCAGTAAATTTTCTGAAAGAAAATGAATCTACCGGTACACCTCTAGTAAATGGATTATGTGAAAATTGAAGCTTTTGGTTAGTCCTTTCAAAATTATTCTTCTGTTTGCCCTCATTGTGGATGATATGCTAATGTGAAAGGTCATATGAGATGGTCTTCACTTTTGATCATCCTTTTTAAGTCAGCTCCTCAACCTCATGTTTGGAACATCTTTTCATACTTCTCTGTTTTCGGGACAAGGAAATCCGTTTCCTCTTGATTTCTTTATTGTTTGACATCTGATGTGCTGGTCTTCTTGTTTGTATTGCAGGTAACATTGAAGCTCCCGTTTCCTCTTGATTTCTTTATTGTTTGACATCTGATGTGCTGGTCTTCTCGTTTGTATTGCAGGTAACATTGAAGCTAGAAATGAGCAAGTCAAAGTGTGAGGAGCTGTACAGACTGACCGATACTGCCATGACATACTTCTAAACCCCAGAATCTGATCCCTACTCCAAATGAAGCTCTTTTTTCTAACTCCCCTTTCTTTTTGTATGGCATTTCTGCCTGAAGGAACAATCTTTCCTCCTCTAGTATGAAGCTGGATGGGAAGCCAGCCCGAAAGCTACTGAACAAATTCGTGATATGAAGTATTGGAATTCTTCGACTCATGGAGCCAATTCGATTCTTATCTGTAGCGTACAATCGGGTAATATTATTGTAATACACTGTGATCATGAATCAAGAACGTAGATGGGCTCACATTCTTGATAGTACTTTTACATTGAAATTCCGAAAGCACTAACGATTTAATATCATTCTCCTATTACATTCTTTTTTTTTTTTGCCTTTTTCAGTTAGTCGTTACCAAATAAATATTTGATCAAAATTTGGTTATGAAATGAAAAAACTCTATGGGATAATATAAAGTGGTATTCAAAGAAGCTAGATGAATTATGAATTGAATTTTGGGGAAACCTTCTTTATCTTGCACAAGAGAATTCATTCTTTGGCTGTATTCTTCATTTTCAGAATTCTGAAGAATTTCATATCCAAAGTGAAAGACACATTCATCATTACTTCTTTGATGAAAAAAAAAAAAAAAAACATTCATCATTACTTCGTTCGACTCTTGTTTTTTTTTTTTTTTTTAATACTGAGAAAGCACAATTACACTCTACAATTCAACAATTCAAATTATATTACACTCTACACCCTTGCCACATCACCATTCAACTATCTCTTTCTTTTTTTACACTTTCTACTCCAATAATTTTACACTCATCACCTATATAATTTTGGACCTACAATCACCCCACTATTACTATCCCACAAATTCTCCACTATCATTACTTTATTTTTTCAAAATTATTAAATTTAGATGCATTTATGCATATAATTTTTTAAATTTCTCAAAAAAAAAAATGTAATAAAAAAACCTAAATCAAACAATGATAAAAAAAACATCCCACAGACAAAAAAAGGAAAAAAAAAAAAAGAAGAGATAGACAATCAGGAGAAATTATCCTTTGCAACTACTGTACCACGTAAGATTGTGCAGCCACATACAATAGGGTAAAGTAGTAATTTTTGGGAGAAAGAGATCATTTTTACGGGAGTGGGATTGTGGAGGAAAAAAATAGCTAGAAGATAAAAAAAGCAAATGAAAAAAAGGGGGAAAAAAATTAACCGCTGCCATCAGATGGACCCCGCACCCACCTCGCTCCTTGTCATAATAAGCTGTATAAAATTTTTGATACTTCTGACAAATTATACAACTTCCAACAACTCCCCTATCCCTCCCACCTGACATTATATCCCAATTAAACTATCGTTGTGGATGCCCTTAGATAATCTCCATCAGTGAAGAATCAGAGTATAATGTTAGATGCATAATGTACTATAACCAATGAAGTGGCTGCAAAATTTTTGTGCGTGTAGGCAAATTTAAGCACAGAATTATAATATTTTTGTCTTAAACAATTCTGACCATGGTCCATCCATATGGCCTGCAGCACTGCAAATATATATGAGGGCTTTCACAATCTACTTCTTTGTTGAGATAACCATTACACATGGTATAGTGAAGTTGAACCGAATTGTGCAGACTCACACCAAAAATTGGGACCAATTGTATGGCATGTGGTCCCAGTTTTATGACAAGGGCAAGGCTGGCCCATGACAAAAATGAGAAAAGTGATGACCATATTTCAGATTAACGGCTATTTTCTCATATTTATTTTGCTTGATTATTTTCGAGTCTTTTATTCCTTAAACAGTAAAATGTAAGGGCCATTTCTTTTTCCTTTCTATAAATAGATTGAGAATTTTATTTGACTACACCTAAAATTTCAATTATCAGCCTTAGTTTTTTCATTCACTCATTTGTGAGTTGTTAATTTTTCTTTTCAATTTGTGCTCAATATCATGAGTGAAAAAAATAATTTTTGAAATTTATTTAGGCCTACAAATTTTAGAAATCCTTCTTCCCCACAACGAAATCCAAATTTTGTATGATTTTTAGCAAAATATGCAAAATTATGGATATCTTTCACATTTTTCTGGTTCTATTCACCCATCCAATTATCAAAATTTATCACCTAATTTCCAAAATCCTCCGTTAAATTTTCAAAATCCATCCCTAAATCTCCAAAATCCATTGCTAAATTTTCATAATACTTTGTTGAATTTTTCAAATACTCAACCAAATTTGCATACCAATTTTCTATGTTTCCAACGTCGGGGTATATGAATCCGGTAATGGGAAACCAGTCTATGTCAGGATATCATAATGTTGATTCTAGTAAAGAAAATACAACTTCGGGATCATCTATGTCGGGCACTCAAATTCCAATATTTTCTACACAGCCAAACTTTGAAAATGTTGTCAGTACTAGCAACGCCGTGGAATCCAATGAAGAGAGACAAGAAAGTCAAAGTTGGAGTTTAGAAGATAATGAAGTGGTTGCAAAAAGTTGGCTCACTATATCAAATGATCCCAATGTGGGTAATTGTCAAAAAGAATCAAAATTTTGTCGACGGGTTACTATGTATTTCAACGAGTATAGGAAGTACGGCCCAGAAAGGAGAGAAAAAAAGACAAAATTACACTGGCATTGGATCAGCCGACGAGTAAATGTATTCAATCAACACTACAACAAGTTAAATGCAGAGCATCATAGCGGGTGGAATGAGGATAAAGTGAAACAAGGTGATTGTCAACTTTACCATCAAACCATGGATGGACAACATTTCAAATATGAGCATGTATGGTGATTTTGAAAGATGATCCAAAGTGGAAAATGGTTAATCCCTTTGAGCATCCTTCCAAAAAAGTCAAGAATAGCGAAAGCGGGGAATGAACAACTTCATCAAATCCAGATATGTGATTTGATCTGAACGAGAGTGAACCTGAAGTTCGTCCTATGGGTCAAAAGACAGCAAAAAGAAAGAGAAAATCAAAAGTAAGTGGTAGCAACTCAACCCCCGCTCTTGAGAAAATTCGAGGTCTTGTGACAGATAGGAAGGACGAGGTACAAAAATTGAAGAGTTCGATTGAAGATCTTGCTTTTATGAAAGCATGCGAATACTTGATGATGGATACTACGGAATGGAGTGCAGAAAAACTTGCTTGTTACGATAAAATTTGTGAGAAACTAAAAAAGAAATATGATCTTTAGTAGAATGTTATTTAATCATGTAATTGAATTATTGCATTTTTATTATGATGTTGTAGTATTGAATTAATGATTTTTTTTCCTTTTGTTATGTAACTTAAATTAATTTATGTATGGTTATTGTTACGTATTGATGAATTTTACTTTTTGAAATTACATATTTTTTGATTTCATATGAAAAATGTTGATAAGTTTAGTTTTATGGATTTTGTGACAACCAAATTCATCATCATCTTCAATCCACGTAGGTAGTTTTATTTTATACGTGCAAACACAAAGTTGTCTATAAACCTATACATAAACTAGAAAGAAGCCAAAAATAATGATAATTAAAAAACCAATGAGCCTTCTATTTATTAGAATCTGTCCAAATATTTTAACATTTTTTGCCACCATCCAAATTAATGTATAGGCATTACTCAATTAATATAATACAAATTTAGCCATTATACAAAATAGTAAAATTAGTCATTATAAAATGATCAGTTCAAAACTAGTCAGTGTAAAATAACGGTTGAAAAAATAGCCGTTATATGATTAAAGCTGAAAATTTATTTGTTGTTGGAAAAGTAGAGGTTGAAAACTAGCCGTTAACCGATCCCTATATATTAAAGCTTAGCTTTGCTAGACACCCATACCACAAAACAACATAACCGACTCTAGCGAAAATGTCCCAAAATCATTACGAATCCTCTATTTTAGACAAAGTCCAAAAATTATTGGAAGACGAGATCAATGACAACACCGATGATCGTATCTTGATGTTGTTAGATCAATTTGAGCAAAATGAAGTTGGAAGTTCGAGATCTCTTACTCAGCAATATTTCAATCGAGAACGATATAAAGGTCATGTTTGGCTAGTCAACGACTATTTCTCTGACAACCTAGTGCATCCTTTGTTGAAAATTGAGTTCAAGTTGAATGAGAATTTGGCTTCTCAAGAGACTGGGATCGATTGTCAAACCGAACTTTCGCGGGCCTGATCAACCCACGTTTTGCTCCAGTTCGGATTAAATTTTCCAGTCAACGGAGAGGTTAATGTGTGATGTCAAAATTAATTCTGTAAAATAAATTTTGGACGGTTAATGGTCAAATGGATAGTTGGTTTAATGGAAAACCATTTTCAGCTTTATTTGAATTAAAGTTCTAGCATTACTTGACCATTAGGAGCCTTGAATATGAAGGTTAATGTGGTTTGAATGTGTAAAACGTTCAAATGGTTTTTAGGCCATAAACCTAGGCATTAAATTGCAATTAAATGGTGAAAACCGTTTGAAATCTTCAGCAACTCAAAGGTTCCTCTCCACACTATAAATGGTGACTCATAGTTCAACAATCGACACCCCCTTTTTCCCTCCTCTCTTCCAGTTTCACTAAGAGTCTTTCTTCCTTCCTATTTTTTATGCTCATTGGCTTGTTCTCGGTTCCCGCTCGCTTGTAGAGTTGCTTTGTACTAAGTAGTCTCTACATTTCCGTTGTATCTTGGGAAACAGTTGCTCGAGATCGTCAAGCACCTTAGGAGGGGGCAAATCTGTTTTAAGGAGATCGTGTTTTCACAAGTCTCGGATTTTTCCTATCCTTATTTTTCTTAGGCTTTGCGAATACTTTGCCCATTTCAACCAACAATCTTAAAACAAAGTTTCTTTTGATTTTGTGTATTTGAAAAGGCTATAGACAAAGTGAAGCATGAAATCTCCAACCACGCGTTGACTTCCATGTCGAGTGCTTCCAACCAACGATTGGGTCGATAGAAGTTTAGGCAAAATTTCTTACCTTAAAGTAATTATGGTTTTCTCTTTTTGTCATGTAGGTGGA